AATTACAAAAAAGGAAGGAAAAAGGTGAAGTACGGAGAAAACATACGGCAACTTTTTTCCCACTTTTTCCACTTGATGCTGTAGCAAGAACGGAATATCGATAGGAGATTAAGATTGCTGAAGATGATGCGATGATGACTGAATCGGAATGAGGTGTATAAATGATTGGACCTGGATGTAGAGCGGTTGTTAAATTAATTGGACGGTGAAAAAGTTGATTTTCCCCTTCGAAGACCATCAAGGAACATGCCATATCTTGGACACATATTTGCACCGCAGATGCTCGACCAAATGTACCGATACACATATTGTACGCTATTGTGGTGATAGTATGCTCATAGACAGTACTCAATTGATAAATTTCTCCATCTAAAATTATGCAATTGAAATTGGAATTGCAAATGTTTTATAATGTGCATCAACGATTAGAATTTAAGTACTAAATTTGATACCTGAAATGAGGCGATAAATTGTTAGTTTTTGAGGTAATAATACAGCGATCAGATTTTGTTCCAAACCGGAAATGAAATTTGCAATGGCAATGTCCAATATAGCAGCGGGTAAATCCTTCTCTAATAAACAGCTCAGCAATTGCTTTTTCGTGTCGTTTGCTCGACCCGGATCGATAATCCATATTCGACCCGTTACACTACCTACCACTAATTGATCTACAAAGTTAGCCGAATACATTAAGATTAATTCTGATGTATGGAACTCATGAAGTGGTAAGTTGAAAGATTAAATCATTCACTAAACAAATTTTCTCATATAAGAGATTAAATTATCTATTAGACTTTATTGGAAAAAGACATTAATTAAACACATAATAAACTTTATTGAGCAAATAAGCATTAAAATTTGTTCCGCCATAAAAGTAATGAATTTGAACCAAAGTTTCTCATATTTCATCAAATTTTAAAACAATGACTTAATAGTTGTTAGGTAAATCCTTCAGATAACTTATCACATCTTTCACTTAATGAATTTCCGAGCCAATTTTTATAACATATTGGATAAAATTACTTATAATTTCTCGTCATCTATTTTTTTCTTATCCTTTTCGACAAAGAAGTGTCAAACCTCGTTTCTCGATCAATTCACCAACTGCGCAAACATTCGCATCAATTAATTCAAGTGTAAGCCATTCATGGACATGAAACACCGACATACTACTACACCTTGGATTAATTTCAATGCAAAATCAAATAAACCAGTATAAATGAGAATGGAATTTATTTCTTCAAAGTCCCAATTACCATAGCAACATGTACAAATCAATATTTTGTTGAAACCGATAGAAATCATTGGGAAAGGCTCCAATTACTTCTTATCATCCAAATGACACTTCAAATATATCATCACGCCAAATTTTTCTTTTTTCTTTCTTCCACTAACAATTCGCTGTGTTGCTAAGACCAAAAAATCCAGAAACCATTAGAAAAACTAGGGATCACGCGTTCTCCAGACTTAGACATCTCAGAATCTGTTTTTGCGAGATTTTTAAACTGTCTGAAATCATATAATCCTCAGCAGTAAATGTTACGCATGAAATGCGGTGTTGAAAGTTTTATGCGCAAATCGACAACTCAGATAATTTCTTTAACAAAAACCATGAAGTACAGGAAATACAAAACCATGGAACCTGGAAAACATCCGATTTCCTAAATAATGAAAGATTTCGCTTTACACCGAATGGTAGAATAACTCTCGCTATTGTTAAATTATCTAACAGAAATAACAAACGACCTCTCGCTCTTATACATCTGGAAACTAATCACCAGTTCTAGCAGGAGGTCCAGCAAACTTGAAAGCTGATCATACAACGATACTACTTATAAATCCTTAATATCATTTATATCCATTTCGCCTGCTTCTAGCAAATTCGGAAAATAAACGAAAAAAGGATCACCATCGTAATTTCTGCAGCACTGGCACAAGACAATATTTAAAGACAAAAATAAGGGTAAAAACAACGAATTAGAGACAAAAGATCTTTATGCTGATATCACATATGTATGTTTTGAAAATGAAAGATTAGAGCAAAAAGAAGACCCAAAATACTGGTGAATAAGGCAGAAGAAAATTTTAGAATCCGAAATTAAATTGCAAGTGATAAAAATCCAATTACTAGTTAATGGACTAAGCAGAAAATAGAACAGTAATTTCTAAAAGCTTTCGTATTTTCATCCCATCGCCGGTAATAAATATAACACATCCGTACCCCGATATGCTAAATACGAAAAAGATAACAGGCAGGTAAGAATAAGAATAATAAGATAAAAACTAAGAAAAAAAGAACCGAAATAACCAATTTCGAAAGAAAAGCTTTACAAAACATCGATGGTAGTTTTCTATATTAAATATAGAAAACTTGTTCCGGAAAACCACACAATAAGATTCACGATTACTCCTTCACAATCGTAGCAAAAATTGATTTTGCTCAAAAGTGGTAAATCTCAGCAAGCATTCATTCTTTTCAATTTTTTGCGAAAGAATTTTACAACAATTCCACGAAAATTATGAGAAATATTCTGAATACAAAAAGTGATAATACCATTGAGGATCACAGTAAATTACACCGAAGCGCATTTCATAACAACTTATCAATACATATTTTCTTTCATTGGATCAACTTTTCCTTTTCGATCTCTCTTCTCGTTTTCGCCTCTTTTCTTCTTCGCGTTTTTGCTTCAATTTTATTGAACTGGTTAGCTTGTATGTGACCAGTGCTAAAACTGCAAGGTTGAATTTCGTTGGCGATATTTTCAATGTAAAGTCATTTAACATGATATAAATATAGGGGAATAGCATGAACTAGTAAGTAGCAGCTTTCTAAAAGTCTAAGTAATTGAAGAATCTTTTTCCTTTCTCATAACTATTGTTTTCAATCTCCTAACAGATTATATATCAATCCAATAATTTCTAAACTGGGAACACTCTTATTTTCAATGAAATCTAAATCTGACAAAACATCAGGTTCAAGTAAAAATAAAAATTAGATTCTTCATAGCTTTTCAATTAGATTTACAAAAGAAAAAATTGTATCAGTTCTGGTTGAATAACGCGCAATAAAAAGATTCTTAAGGTAAATTAAATAGCAATTTTTTTTTTGAAACTAACCTACAATAGCCACAACGATTACCGCTGGTATAATAAAAACTGAATTATCAAAGCTATGTTGAAGAGTGCTTCTACCACTCAATTCAACCATTAGATTCCGGACACGGCTAAGCGAATACCAGTACTGGAAAGGAATATCAATTATAGATTAAGAGTTATTAAAATACATGCAAAATGTTACGCTGCTTAGTTTAAATACCATGACTGGTACCCTTCCTTCACCAAAGTACCCAGCTAATCTGCGGTACCCTCCTGAACCACAGATGTAACCCCCTTCCCCCATTCTCGCCAAATTCTTTTTCAACGACAAATGCCAACACATTCTCGTGAAACAGGTCGCCATCAAACCGTCCTATTCAGACGCGCTACGAAAAACTATCCCACTCGGACAAAAGGGCTTCAATCCATTTGCGCATTTGGTTGGATGGACGACGGGTTAGTTCGCGTGCGTGATTTCCTGTATGTCCATTTTCTTTTATTCATTTTATCGTTAATTTCATTCATATTTGGAAGATGCATTGACCGCTCACTCAATTGAATTTCGCAATGTATTTTTCCTTCTTGCAGTGACAGTAACTGTAACAGTTTTAATGGAAGATGAAAAAAGTTGTTGCCATAAGTGTCTAAAAAGAAGTAGAAGTGATAAAATCAACTTTAGATTCGAACAGTAAAAAGTTTAAGTGTCTGAGATGAAGTTTGAATTTCGAATATTAAAGAATGATTATATGAATATATTTTACGTTAACTGACAGTGTTAATGGTTTCCGTACATTATATTATTAGTGATGACGATGATAGAGGATGGATGGATGAGTAAAGATTAAAAAGACGATTAACGATAAAAGAGGTCAGGAAGGCGATGATAGGGTAAAAACTAGACGAAGACGTTCAATTCTTTAATTCTTATGTTCATTTTAAAATGAAGGATTAGGCAGTGAGATTGTACTATTTTCGTTAGTTTAGCTGTTTGTCTCTTGACACATTCTTTACCCGTCGAATAAAATTTCAGTAATTTTTAAATTCCGGATATGTGATCCGAGTGGTCGGTAGGACAACTGCAATATGTCCATTAAAGAGTAACAAATATTTGATGTGATAATGGTGATGATAGTGATCACGGTAATGATATTCAGTGACGATGGAAATGATTGTGATAACGGTGACTGTAATGATTATGACATATTGAGAAGGCATGTCATATTTTAAACTTGCTAGTAAAAAAAATTCACATATCATAAATGCATTCAAATGATGTGCCGTTTCATGTCATAAATTTATTCAAATTATTGATTAAAAACTTAAAGTAGAAATTTTCTGGAAATTAATTTACTAAAGTTCATTTATTAAATTTTGATCAATTTCTTATTGGAAATGGAGAATTTATTAGAATTCGTTTACAAGAGAGAAAGGGAAAGAGGGAAAAAGAAGAGGGAAAAGAGAAATCATGCCATTTTTCGAGACTGATCGAAGAATCCAATAATATTTATTACTGTTGGTAGCACATTTCAGCGATCCCATTGTCATGATCCTTTTGCGCGTACTTTGTACCCTTTGCGGCGCTGTGATACTACATCATCACTCATAACCTGAGAAATCATTTCAGTGGTAGGAGGAATGGGAATAGAACAGAAATAGAAATGAGATGAATGAAAAAGAAATTAATGAGAACTAAAGACTGCTTCGAGTAAGAAAAATGTAAGAGAACGATTAGGGAGGTGGAATGACATTGGCAATAATATTGAACCGAGTTTTTTTTCTTTTTTTTTTAAATAATAGAAGATATATGAATTTAAAATGTTTGAAGAATAGTGTACAGCACAATGAAAATATGTACTAACATTTTTCTTCTTTATTTCTTCCGTAATACTTCCATCTAGTCGGGTTTTATCAGATTCCTTCTCGCTAATTTTGGAGTTTCCCTTGGTGAAACTGCTGGTTGAACATAAATCCTCGATGAGAATCAAACGATCCATGTATTAACGTGATTATGTCGATGATGGCTTCCGATAAAATTCTCTCTTTACGTTTTTTTTTCGTGATTTTTTCGGTCTTGCTAACATTTATACCGTCTATTTTCTTTGATGAGCTGCTAGTTGGACGGGAATTCATTAATGAGAATTCCAATATGTTAGTCTTATTAAGTTGATGGTTCTCGACGAAATTATTTTGTCAAAAGATTGAAGAGGAACAGAAATAGGTAAAGAGAGGAGACAGAAAAAAAAACGAAAAGAAGGAAGGCGAAGCGATAGAGAGGATAATAAAAAATAATTGTCAAAATACCATATCATATTGAGATTTTGGAATCTTCTCATTGAAATGAACCTTGCAATAAAATCTTGCTTGAGATAATTTCTTCTATTTTTTTCGTTGCAATAATTTGTATCATTTGTTGTGGCTATCGTGTTCAATTGAATTGAATTGAATTAATTCACTTTCTCTTGTTACAGGTTTCAATGCTATTTGCCAGAGGTGCATTAGTGCATTGGCCGAAATATCCAACCAGTGAGATTTCCACTCATACTTCTATTTTAGTGAATTTTGAAGAAAATTTTATAATAGAAATAGTCTTATTATTTTGAGGAAACCAATATGAATAAATGTTAACATTTTCAACATAATCATTGCTTTTGAAATTTAATTTGAATTTGATTTCAATGTAGTATCAGTGGTACGAAACATCGCCCGCTTTGCAAGTACAAATGTTTCTATTAAACCAAGTGAGTTTTCCGATTTAAAAATTTTTAATTTTAAATTATGTAATTAAGTTTTGTCAGACAATACTTGATCACTTAATTTCATTTCAAATCATTGATCTGATAAAGATAAAACCTGAATAGTGCTCAAAGAAAGATCTGTATTTTATTATTACAAAGAGTAAGAAAAATCTTTTTGATTTTGTCTTTCTGACACAGTTTCAGTGAAACCTGAAGTAATTATCTCAAAACGTCAAGGGATTGAATTTAGCAGCCGTAAAACGGTAACATTAAAGATAGAAGATAACATAGCTGTAATAAAAGTCGACCTTCCTGATATGAAAGTAAGCTAAATATTTTCATTTGTAACAATTCCTTATTATAATAATTTTTATTGTAAACTAATTTGTTGAAGTAATTAAGAATCTCTCTTCACTTCTGGTTTTTCTTTGTTATTTTTCCTTTTGATTTTGGTACAAGTTTTATCAAAGACAATAATTTACTAACTGTTCAATGGAATTTAAATTTTTTCCTATAGGAAAATGTCTTGAATGAAGTAGTTGCGGATGATTTGCGATATTATATGGACCATATTGATGCTGATTCTTCTATTAAAGGAGTAGTGATAATATCTGGAAAACCGAATACATTCATCGCTGGTGCGGATATTGGGATGTTGTCTAAGGTAACTAAACGGTTTATCTTCTGCAAAGTTCCACAGTGCAATGATTGCTCAATGTCAATTGAACATGACATCTATGTAGAAAGCTTTCAAGGGTTTATAAGGCGTGTTCCATCTTCGTAAGAAGTTTAATGAACCTTATAGTAGTCTAGATTGAACTACAACAAGTTGAAGTGATTTTAGAAAGCTGATTTTTTTTCTTTATGGACGATAGACGATTTTATCGTATAACAATGCCATGGTAGTCACGTAGAAGGAAGATCGCATTGAAGTTCTTAATAAATTTAGATAGTATTTAAGTTTGGCAGTTCAATTTCTATTAAAAGGGGTTTTTGCCAAAAAAGAGTATCAATATTTCAGTGTAAAAATTCTGCAGAAGCTCGAAAAATTTCGTCGGCTGGTCAACAGGATTTTTTTCGAATTGAAAATAGTCAAAAACCAGTCGTCGCAGCCATTATGGGTACCTGTATGGGTGGTGGCTTAGAGCTAGCACTTGCATGCCATTACCGAATTGCCATGAATGTACCAAAAACGTTGTTTGCATTACCTGAGGTACATTACCATTGATATCTCTTATCATAATTGTTTTTGAAATTTTGAAGATTTTATAATTTTTGTTGCAATTTTTTGTTATGATAGCTATTACCATAATGTCCTATTGCTTATTTTTATATTCTAAATTCACAGATTTTTGGGTAATTAAGCAAATTGCCCGGAATTTTTATATTCCAATTAATAGATTTGGGGTTAAGCAGATCGCCAAACCTAACCTTTTGAGAAATATCTTTACATTTGGCAACTGATTTATATGATCTGAATTCAGGTAAAGTTAGGCCTACTTCCTGGTGCTGGTGGCACACAACGTTTACCAAAACTTATTTCGATCACTGAAGCTCTTGGTATGATGCTTACCGGTAAAACATTACCAGCTGTGAAGGCGAAGAAAATTGGTCTTATTGATCGTATTGTACAGCCTATCGGAGCTGGACTAAAGCCTGCTGAGGAAAATAACTACAATTATCTTGAACAGGTTATTTTAATTTCCAAAACTCGAAATTTTTGGTTACAAATTTTGTATAGGGATTCAATTATTTTAGTTTATTAGCTCTGCATCAGGTTTTTTTCTTTTTCATATCTGAATATCTTTTAGTTCAAATTATTTCCTGGTTCTCACTTTTAGGAATATATTCCGCAACTTATCTTTATATCAAAATTTCAATTTCAGCATAATATTAAAGAAATGTTTTTAGATTGCTATTGAAGCTGCGCAGCAGTTGTCTGTAGGAGCACTGGAAGTAGATCGCAAAGGATCGTTCTGGAAAAAAGCCACAGATTATGCACTTACGAAAACTCCATTCTTCAAACACTTTGTTTTGGAAAAAGCACGCAAAAATGTATATTCTCAATTTCTTTTTAGAAGACTTTTGAATTTAAAGTTTCAGCTTGTTCAAATTCAGATTTATGGAAGTGATTTCAAGTCATGTTCTATCTTCGAATTGAAGAGAAGAGAGAAATACAGCGAGTATTTTAGATGCTTTTTTAGTTTCAGAGATAATATACCTCATTCTTTTAGGTTATGAAGATGACTTTTGGAAATTATCCAGCTCCGTTAAAAATCTTGGATGTAATTGAAAGTGGAATAACAAAAGGGCCTGACTTAGGTTACTTGGAAGAATCAGAGGTTGCTTCATTATAACAAGTTATTATCAGATTTGTTGTTTTCTGGAATTAAATGCTTTGTACTTTCTTATTGGGATCGATATTTGTGCATTTTAGGCTTTTGGAGATTTAACACAAACAACACAATGTAAAGCTCTGATGGGTATTTTCAAAGGCAGAACCGAATGCAAACGAAATAAGTTTGGAGAATCAAAAAAAATTGAGTAAGGTGTTAGTTTTTACATTAAAAACTAATTTCCAACTCTGAGGAAAGAACAGCAACATATTTCCGATACTGAGATTTAATTGGGATAAAAAAAGCAGTGGTCAGAGCAGTGGATTGTGGATGGTATAATGAAATTAAATTTCATTGATATGGAAAACTCAAAGTGTAAATCCGAATGTATTTTAATTCCAAGTCTTTTCATTTCCAAATTATATAAATTTTTAAACTCATAGGAAATTTAACCTTGTTTTAGAATGATCATTTTTTTGTAACTGCTCTCCTAATTACTAGCGTGTCAAAACGATTAGATTGATTAGCGGAAATGCCGCAGTCACAAAAATATTTGATAAATTGAAGTACTTCATCGCGTTCTATTTCTTTTATTTTGCTAATAATTTTTCAGATGGTTTTGCGATAGAATTTTTTGCAGTTTTTAAGAGTTTAATTCTACTTTGAATCATAACTGTGCAGGAAGTTAGCCGTGATTGGTGCCGGTTTGATGGGTGCTGGAATTGCAAATGTTTCGATCGACAAAAATATTCAGACATATCTGTTGGATAGGAATGATGAAGGCTTGGCACGAGGTCAGAATCAAATTCATAAGCATTATGACGGAATGGTAAAAAGAAGAAAAATCAGTGATTATGAAAGGCATAGATTTATGGCTAACCTAAAAACAACTTGTAAATATGATGAACTACATGACTGTGATGTGGCAATTGAAGCCGTTTTCGAAGAACTTCCTTTGAAACATGAAATAATAAAAAAGGTTTGTAATTGTCGAACTGTAGTATTTCTTAGGAGAGTTCTACCAATTAAGGGATTTCTTTTTCTGTTAAAATTTATGGAAATTAAGTCATTTTGAAAGAAATAAAAAGTATGTGATTAAGAGACTTTTGTTATTAATGTACGCACAAATAAAATTTGGATTTCAATTTTTTTTTCAAATTTTAAATTGAATTTACTGTCAGATTGGGCTTGAAAAAAATTGAAGGTTGTTAATGACTTTGCTAGATTTAGAGAAATTCGTGCTACCAATAGTAAATTATCAGTGAAAGATGATAAATTATAAAGTATTAGGCTTAATGCACATTGCACTAAGTCTTGTATGTTTTAAAACTTTTGTGGCATAGCAAAAAATATTACGTTAAAAAACGATTTCAGGAATTGAATGAATAGTTAATTTTTTATCGCTTTCTTTTGCAGTTGGAATCGGTAGTTCCAGAACATTGTATTATTGCATCTAATACTTCAGCACTCCCAATCACGCAAATTGCATCGGTTTCCACTCGACCGGATCGTATCATCGGGATGCACTACTTTTCTCCAGTTGAGAAAATGGAACTGCTTGAAATAATAACCACGAAGGATACTAGCAAAGAAACTATCGCTGTAGCTACACAATTAGGATTAACGCAAAATAAATTAATTGTGGTTGTTCAAGTAAGTTGATTTCACAAAGTTATAATTATCGAACAAAAGTTTTCTAATTTTAGATATTCTAGCTTTTCTATTCTTTGGTTTCTTCCTTTTTTTCTTGTTACTCAAAACCACAAATATATACAAAAATAAACTTCAGATTTTTGGTTCGTTTTCTTCATTGAAACTGATAATTTTGATAGTTTTATGTCACTTTTTAAACATATAGATCAAAAGACCGCGACATTGTGGTATTGTTATTCATGGAAAATCGGACTCAGGAGTTAATACAATCAACTGAGAAACTTGAGCTTTATGACACTTCTCTTTTATTCTTACTCACTTGTGGCAGGTTGAAATCAGAGCTTCACTTATTCCCATTTTTTTATTTTTTAACCAAATTGTGTGAATTCTCTCTTGACATGCAGGACTGCCCAGGATTTTTTGTCGTCCGTTGCTTAGCCCCAATGATGAGTGAAGTTGTTCGATTACTTCAAGAAGGTGTTCATCCAGATGAAGTTGATGATATGACGAAGAATTATGGTTTTCCAGTGGGTGCAGCAACGCTGGCAGATGAAGTGGGGATTGATGTGGCGCAGCATGTCGCAAAGTTTCTGGGAGAGGTGAGGATGGTAATTAATAAAGTCGAAAAACGCAAAATTAAATTAAATTTAACATCGGTTAAAGTTATCTGAGCTTCTGAATTACAGTTCATCCTCACATAAGAAGCACAAGTTAATAATAAACATATGGGTAATCCCAATATTTATTGAATAATTTTTCTAAAAATTGATTTTAATTTACACATTTTCCGGCATTGGGTCCTCGAATTGGTGGTGGATCGATTACAGTATTGGAAGAAATGGTTGCGTCAGGGTTCAAAGGTCGCAAGTCGGGTAAAGGGTACTTCATCTATGGTGATTCCAAAAGGCTCGGGATCTTTGCCAAAAAGAAGTCTGTAAACGAGGCTGCACTAAGAATCTTTGACAAGCACCAGCTGACTCCTATTTCATCGGTGTAAGCTGTTTAGTTTTTGAGAATATAAGATTCACTTTTTAGTTCAGTAGAAACTTCTCGGTCTTCGGACCTTTTAGTTTTTTAATAAATATTTCAATTCTGGCTCGATAAAACCTTTTCTTTTATACAGAAGCAGTGTTGTTGATCGTCAACTTCGAATATTATGTCGTTATATAAATGAAGCAGCTATATGTCTTGAAGAAGGCATTATTTCATCGCCGGTAAGCGTGCTTCAGTTCAATAATTAATTTCGTTTGTATAATAAAATAATTCATGAAATAGATGAAGACAATTTAATAAGTGGATGGAAACTAAAGAAAGCTTTTTTGTTACCTCTGCAGATTTTGATCGAGTTAGATAGCGCAGCAAAAAAAGTGTATCTCAAAAGCCCGACAATTGTTGTGATTTCATGAAGATTTACACAACTTTCACTTACCCATTAGGTGGAAAAATGTGTATGATTAACACGACTAAAAAAATATTTTTAAATATTTTCAAAATTAAATAAAAAAAGTTTCAGTCAGATGGCGACACGGCGTCAGTGTTCGGTATCGGTTTTCCGCCGTTCTGGGGTGGTCCGTTCCGTTTTGTCGATATGTATGGTGCAGATAAACTTATAAGTAATATGTTACGATATGCAGAAGCCTATTCGTCAGAGCAGTTCAAACCGGCTCAAATCATACAAGATCATGCCAAAAGAAATACAAAATTTTATTCGGAATAAGTGAATTTTTCCAGGATGACGACCAATTTACCCCTTCTTGTGATTTATTTATTATGTGATACGATCATTTTTTATCTTAGTAAGTAAAAAAATAACAATTCGAAATTTGTTCGGGAAAAAAATGACCACAATTATTGGATTCCGTCAACTGCTGACTGATTTCGGAAATTTCCTCACTTTCATAGGTCATTTTCCACTTTCTCTTTTCATTCGCCTGATTATTTATTCTATTTCACTTTCAAAATATGATTTAATATCCCAGAGTAAAAATATATCATAAAATTTGTTAAGCCTAAAATGACATTTAAAATGTGATGCATTCAATAAAAGTTTCATTCATTTATGCTAATTTACATGAAGAATAACTAACACCTAGGAAAAACTCAAGTCAGGTATCGACATAGGATGCGCCAGAAGTCCCATGGGATTTCATCCCGCTCTCTAGTTTAATAAAAGACTCTGATAAAATCTTTCTTGCTGTAGTAGGATTATTCAGTCGAGTAGTATTAAAGGCCTCCCGTAGCATACCGAATTGCGAAGGGGGCATAACTCACTCACCGGTGACTTCAGGCGATGAGTTCGGTTGTTGCATGGCGTCTCGAATGCTTGGGCCACGTTGCGATGAGCAGAACAGGCGTAAGAGCGATTTGAGGTGCTTCTTGAGAATTTCGATGAAATGTCGAGAAAAGATTGAACACATACGTAGATCAGTCGATGTTTTGAAGTTATAACCGTCCATATTATCAAATTACTTTCAATGAGGGTACAATGTTTTTTAAGAAATTCCCCTCTCAAATTCTAGATTTCTTCTCCTGTTGGCATGTAAGATCTTTCTAAGTGCAAAATACGGAAACCGAAGCTCTGTTAATTGCTGTTTATGTGATTTAGTGCGAAATTAAGTGTCTCTCTTAATACCAGTATTTACTAATTTATATTACTGACAGGCATTCTTTATTGGAATGAGTGGTAGACATCAGATTGTTTTTATTCTCGAGGCACTAAAGTGTATTTGAATTTTCTTTTTGGAACCTTGTTGATCGATTTTGATTCGAATAAATCTAAGCTCTTGCTAAACATTTCGAAGTTAATTGGTTAAGTATATGAATACTTAAACTTAATTGACTGAAAATTGAGCTGTACATCTCTTTAAGGGGAATGTTTCAACGCAGTTGTTTTACAGGATACCCGAAAGTCTTAGTATATTTTAAAAAGGCCCTTATAAATTTTTAAAGTTCAAGGCTTATCAGCATAGGGGTAGTTTTTAAATTATTTCAGGCGATTAGATGATAAAGCATTCTACGATCGATATAAATTTAAATAGTATTCCTTAGTATTTTTATCTGTTTCGCGAGTGAAATTATTTATCATAATAAGCATTGGTATCTTGGAAATAATACAAGTCAAAATAAGAAGGTTCATTTGATTGATGGATTCGAAGAGTAATAAATTTTCAAGGGACTTCTATATAATGTAATTAAGACAAGAAATTTCCCATCAATACTTATATCATGCGGTAGTAGCATGGTTTTCAAGACTAAGTACTCATTAGTCTTGGAAACTCTTCATTTAATTTCATGATTACTGCTTGAAGATAAGGAGATCTTCAATCTCTTTGTTGTATACAAATAATACATCTTCGATAATTCGAAGTTAGAAAGTTCTCATTTAGAAAGTGATAAGTCTTCATTATTGCAGACTTTTGCCGGTGACGATTAGGATTCTCAATGAGTGAGGGTGGTGGTAAACGGTCGGACGATGAAGGTGATGATTTCCTGTGGAACGATTTTGAGAGTTGTGCTCAGTCGGTCACACTCTTATATCGTAATCCATCATGGAAGGCGATGCAAACAGCTGCTGCATCTACCACTCAACTTTACAAAAGTGGTATCGAACATAAGAAGAAAGCATATGACCGAGGTGGTTTATCATTTTTCCTTAAAATATTAGCATCATTTCCAATGTATTGCAATTGCAAGATAACTTTAAGTTAAACATGGTTGTAAGTGATAGTCTATTTTAAAGAACTAGTTGTCAACTCTTTAATGATCTTTTGGTTGATTTCTTAGACTCACTTTTATGGTATTTTTGATTGGGAAATTTTTGAAAGCAGATTTTAAACAGACAGAGTAAGTAAGGGAAATTAAATTTTTACAGGGTAGGAGAAATTAAAATTTCACAGAATAGGAGAACAGATAGAGTAGGGGAAATTAAAATTTTAGATGTAAATTGTTTAAAACTTAGTATCCCTATTTTTGATTTCATCTGGTAGGATGTTATAACCTAAGGTACTACGAAATTTGCCAACATGTTCTGTCTGTTCAGAAGACTAAAGATGATCCTTTTCACGCAATCAAAAAAATAGAAGCTTATACATCAGTTTGTTAATTATTGGTTACCTATCAGCTGGAAAGTCACAACTTCTGTATTTGACACTGAATCGAAATATTATTATACTTGTCATAAATTGGTAGGACCAGTTTCTGAGGTAAATTGGTGGGACTAGTTCCTAATGTTTCAAGCACAACAAGGTAAATGATTCAAGGCATTTATTTTCAGGTTATTTAGCGGGTCGCCAAACTCTTGCGCGTGAAATTTATGCCTTGCGTCGTTATAATGGAGTCTCTGTTGATGACATCTGGAAATTGTTATCAAAAATTGTTTGTGCTGCAGAATACGGGTATTCTTCGCGGAGTTCAACTCCGGAACAGAGTGATAGTCCAGCAGTTTCATTCTTTCAACAGGTTGGTAATTTTTTCGTGGTCTTCAAAGTACTCGCTTATACTCTTTTTATTCAGAATAAGTGAGTTTAAAAAAAGTATTTTGTGAATTAAAAAAAAGTATTTTGGATTATAATGAAGAGTGTTTTACGAATTCTATATCTGCATCAATAAAAAGGAAGGAAAAATTATAAGTTCGATTAATTTTAGGCGCTGTGTATTCCTGCTAATGTCGCGTGCCCACAGCGTGATACTGAATTGAATACTTTTCTGTCGCGTCAAGTTCATCGGCGGCGCAAACGACGTCATTCACCGTCGGAGTTTCCTTACAAAAAAATTTTCCGCTCATAATAATGCTTTCGTTGCCTGCAGACTGGTGTTTGTGATCACTTTCTTTTGAAAATGCTTCCTTTTTTGTCTTTTTCATTGTCCGTATTTTTATTATTTCTACTATTGGTTTTCTCTCGAAAATACTCATTGAGAGCAGAAGGAAGAATTGCAGAAAATAAGCAACAAAATGGGCAAGAATGAGAACAGTCATATTGTTCTTTTGTATTTCAGTTTCAGGATTGTAGGGGAGGTGATGGAACAACGAAATGGATTTCTGGAAGGTATCACTGAAGTGAATGTGAGGGTCAGAGATTATGGTAAGAGATTGCTGAAAAGTGAATATCTTAATTATGTTTCGGTGTAGATTGGGATGTAATAAGTGATCAAGTTTCATTAGGTAGTCAAAGACTGTATATTGATCAGATTCCTTTGAAAATGATTTTTATTTTATTCAAATTTTTAGGTTTTTTCTTTAAATAGAATTAATAGGAAGAGCATTTTCAACTCAAGTTCTTAATGTTTTTTTTTTTCGAATGACTGCCAGACTTTTTAAATCATAATTTAGTGTCTTTAAGGCAGTTAATTAGAAGGTGTAGAAAAGGATGAAGGATTTTTTCAGATAGATAATTTTTTTATATTGTTAGGCTGATGCTTGTTACGGAGAAAAGAAGAATGATTTTTATTTTAAGTCGACATGCTGTACGAGAAATAGTGGATAAATCAAGAAGGGATAATATTTCAACTCTTATTAGGATAATGTTTTTAAAATGTTGTAGGGAGAAAAGAAAGTTTCTTCAACTATTTCAACTAATAAATTCCGGTTTTATGATAGTGCTTTCAATCAGATTTTTGTTTTTTGAAATAATTTCGATTTAGAATTACGGTTTTTAGCGTTCTTTTGAACGAGGTTCGAAAATCATTGGTGAATTGTACTTGTTGATAGGAGAGTTAACTGAATGAATTTAATCGACTGCAATTGAATATTGAACTGCAAAGAAATTTTAGCTGATATCAAAACTTTGAGAATTTACGAAATTTGTAAATATTTCAAGATATTTGAGTTTTATTTTGACTTTTTTGAGCTTTTCGCCATGTTGTAGTTGTTTCATGAATTTTTCGGGTATATGTAAAAAGCTGAAAAAACGGACAGATGTAATTTTTTTCTTCAAATTAAAAGGTGAGGGATAGCACTGTGAATTAGTAAATCCGTTAATTGTGTACTTTTTTTGTGTGAGAACGCCAGTGTGATTTGATATTTCTGTGTTATGGAAGTGTAAAAGATTTAAATAAAACATTCAGTTGAAATACCTATGCTTTATTGATCTCTGAACTAATTGTTTCTGCTGCACTGTACAAGTGATTCTTTTTTTGAATAATTTTTAAATCTTGGTATATTTGGATGGAATTTCAGAAGCACAAGCTGCTGAACATATTCAGGTCCTTGATTAGTTTTCTTGTTTTTGGCAGCGGCAGATATGGAGATACAAAACGTTAGAAGTTTGGTCCCAATCATTTGCTTACAGTTTATGAGAATACAAGTAATGTGCTGATTTGCGTTTTAGATAATAATATTAGTGTTATGGCTTTGATATTTTATTATGAAATTTGAGGAAACAAGTACTATTGTCTTGACTCAAGTGTATTGTTTTGGTAATTTGTTCGTTAATTTATATTTTCTCTTTTTTCAGGTTTGGTGAAAAGTGGTTTTGTGTATGATTACAATTGTTGTCCACCATGGTTGGTTGTTTTGGATTTTAGAATTTTGTTTAAGCCTAAGATGTACTTTCCAAAAGTATTCCTTAAGTATTAAACATATTTTAAACATGATATTGTGTACGACAAAGTGTATTTCCATTTCCATTACTACAGCAAGAGCATGTATCTCTTATTGTACTTTTCCAAAGAAATCAGTCGTTTATCTGATGTTTTTATAAA